ATTAAGCAGCAATAAGTCACAGGACTGGATATGTTCATCCTAGAGCTATGATAGAACTTAAATGAAGCGACTGACTCCTTCCTCTCCGCCCCCTCCCCCCCCAAAAAAGAGACAGTCTCAGAAGTCAGCTAATACACTAGTAGATTTTAGGGTAGCAAGTGTTGTACACTAGGATTAGGCTTACCAGACCTGAACATTGCCTGGAAATTACACAACCACTATTCCAAAGGAAACATAGCAGAAATAGAAAGTATTTAGTAATGTCTACACTAGCAGCTCGATTGATGGGCAGCAACTGATCCAGTGGGGATTGATTTATCGTGTCTAGTTGACCAAAGAGTGTTCTCCCATTGATTCTGGTACTCTATCAGAATGAGAAGTGTAAGCAGAGTTGACACGAGAGTGTCAGCTGTCAACTTACCATAGTGAAGATACTGTAGTAAATAGATCTAAGTATGTCAACTTCAGCTATGTTATTCAAGTATCTGAAATAGCGCTTAAGCCATGCCCCACCTCTTATCCTCAGCAGCCCCCCATCTTTTCAGCTCCCAGGTGTTAGTTCTGTGTGCAAAGGCAGCAATAAACATCTGGGAGCTACAGGGAGGGGCCACTGCTTTAGCTCCACAAGGAGAGGCAGCAGGTCTCCCTGCAGCACCCAGCTCTTTGCTTTTGCATCTCCCCAAGGCCACAGCTTCACTTTGCCAGGGCTGGCAGCAATATGGGACCAAGCAAAGCCAGAAACCCTGGCAAAAATCAGAGGTGGGAGCATGTGATCCCATGTTCCTCCCCCCGCATGTTGCCTCTGACACTGGGGAATTGAGTCTTGGGGCTTTAGCTCTGTGGGGTGCACCTGCCAGGGCTCAGGGGTGAAGTCCTAAGTCCTGCTTTTGAACTTTTGAAGAATGTCATATGCAGCTTGGAGAATCAGTAAGTTTGACTTATTCCTGGCACATAACATCTTCACCAGACATACTACGGGGGCACAGCCACATCAGTAGCGCATCTAGTGTGGCACATCAGCTGTAGCACCGCTAGTGTTGATTAGCCCGCTGCTGTTCGTGAAAATGCAGCTCAATCTGGCTGTGTCTACACTACGTGGAAGATCAACACTGCCACAGTCTTCCGGGGGTTTGAATTATAGGGTCTTGTGAAGATCCATTAATTTGAACTGAGACGATGCCCGTGTTGGCACCAGAAGTCCCTGCTCCTCATGAGGAGTATAAGAAGCCAACGGGAGCATTTGCTCCTGTTGGCCTCCCGCTGTGTGGACGGCGCAAAAATGCAATTTAAGATATGAAATTAACCTATCTGGAGTTAAGTATCAGAGGGGTAGCCGTGTTAGTCTGGATCTTCAAAAGTGACAAGGAGGCCTCAGCTTCTACCCACCTTCCTTGCTAAGGACTGGCCACTGGACAGGTGATTGCCTATCAGCTTTGATGACATCTGGGTAGGGGCACTAGCTTGTCCTTTGTCTTTCAGAAACTGATTTACCCAAGCTTGTCTGGTAAATACATTTCAGATCTAATTGGGCTTATGTTCATAACTTTACGTGCAATGTTGCTATGCATATTTCACCATGATAATATTTTCCAGCAAGTTTTTAGTTTTCAAATGCTACATCATAAGGCATGTTTATACTAGTATTATTACAATGGTGTGTAAGGTGTGAATATAAGGATACATTCAATCACAATTCTATACAATTAAGCCACAGGAATATTGTATGTAAAACCCTGAATTCAGTTACTGTATTGTTATTTCTTTATGTCTCTTTCCATTTCAGAGCAGACCATACAGTTTCTATAGTAAACAAAGATTTAATGTATACAAAAACCACAAAATGGCATACAGCATTGTAAGCAGTATCTGAAATATTGATGAAGACACTTTAAACAAAAGCTGTTAGGTAGGACAGTGACCTTTGTTTCTTATCCAGACTTTCCTTCCACTGTCACTTTTACACACCAAGTTCTCAAAAAATAATTTGTACTTCTCTGCTGTGGCTGAGTGAATATACTTCTGATCTTATTCCAGAAACATTTTAAAGCCTTTTCGTCACTGCTAAAACAGAAGGGCTTTGTCTTCCCTGCGCATTTAGTTCAGAATAGCTCGTGCACCGTAATTACCCCATGTTATAAAAGCAAAACAAAAACTCACCTTTTGTAGCACTGTGGGAAAGGCCTAAGGACTAGATTTAAAAAAGGAGTGAAACATTCCAACGATCAGTGTCACAATCCCTAGCTTTTAGGCATCAAGTAAGGGGACGCCGTTATTTTAAAATAATTTTACTAGCGTGTACACAGCCAAACTGCTATTTCAAAATTAATTTGAAATAGTGGAGCACTTATTTAGAATTTGGTAAACCTCATTCCACGAGGAATAACACCAAATTCTAAATAGCTATTTCGAAATAAGTGCTGTGTAGAAACTTATATCGAAATATGGGGCCTCTGGCCTTCCCAAGGTGCCTTGGTGGCCACTCTAGCCTCAACCAAGAACACTCCTCCCCTGGAGCCCTTAAAAGGGTTGACTCTGGCCACAGTGCCTGTGCCAGCTCCAAGCCTGCCAGCCCAGAACCAGCAGTCACTGCTCCTGACGCAGTAGTCCCAAAACATGAGCCCGCAAGCCACTGGCAACCAGCCCTCCACCGCTCCTCAGGAGCAGTCTGCCAGTTCCCAGGAGCCTGCCAGGGCACGGAGAAGGCGGGCGCATTCCTGATCCAGGGTGGAGATCATGGACCTTATTCAGGTTTGGGGGGATGCTCCCAACGTCCATGATCTCCGCACTAGATGGAGGAACGCGGCCGTCTATGGCAAGATAGCTGCCAGCCTGGCCACCAAACGCCACATGCAAACCCAGGAGCAGGTTTGCATGAAAATCAAGTTGGTCCGGTGAGACCCCCAACCCTGAGTCCTGAGCTACCCCTCCCCCTTCTTCCCCTTGCTTCCCCCTTCCAGATTCCTCCTCCCCTCTCGTGCCTCCTTTCCCCAGTCTCACCAGAGTTTCATTCCCCCACCTCCCACCCCCAGTTTTTTAAATAAAGAGAGTTTGTGTTCATGAAAATACATGTATTTTATTTGACATCAGGAAGGGGGGTTAGGGAGGGTTAAGTGGAAGGATGTGAGGGAGGAATGAGGCACAAGCCACCAGTGGGGCAGACCAGGGAGGCTCTTAGTGGCTCCTCAGGGTGGAAGCTCTCTCACATGGCCTCCTGAATGCTGACAGCCCCCCGATGGACCTCCTGGATGACAGCCTGCAGAAAGTGCAGCCAGGCTCACAGCAATGCATCCAAGAGAAGCACCAGAGTGCCCAGGGGGAGCTCTGGCTCCATGGCGCCGAGTGCTGTAGTGTCCCAAGTGAGGGCAACCAGAGCACGCAGAGACAAAATGCTTTGCTGTCCCTCATTGAGGCTGGCAAGCAAGCAGGGAAAGCTGAGAACCAGCTCCCCAGACCGGGGGTGGGGGGGAGGGCTTTAAGCACAGGTCTCGGATAGCCTCAGGAAGCAGCCACACAAAGTAACTCCTGACCTGATGTCCTGCTGGACCTCGTTCCGGTCGGCTTTAAATGCGATTCAGTGTGCACTCAGTGTGGATGTGCTATTTCAAAATAGCAAGACACTATTGTGAAATGCATTTTGTGAGTAGACGCGTTATTTTGAAATAACTTATTTCGAATTAACTATTTCGAAATAAGATATTTCCAAATAATGCTGTAGTGAAGACATACCCTAAGTCACAGGAATACCACTGTGATTCTCAAATCCCGAGTTAGGTGCCTAAGAATGGATGGCAGGAAGGGGTGGCTATGCCTCCCTAAACAGCCAGGTGTGGCCACACCTGCACTAAGCCCCACTTTGGGTGTGCTGCTGGGCTCCAGTGGCTAGGGGCATGCTGCCCACCCTTTTGGGGTGGGGGACTGTATTTTCTCATACTTCATTTGCATAATCTCTTCCAATGCTTTTTGCGCAAGACATTTTTGTGGAAAAACTAGATGTGTATATGGATCCATTTTGCACAAAACCTTTTGCACAAGATCCTTATGCCTCAGAAAAGGATATCTTGCGCAAAAGGGGGTTTTGTACAAAACGGATCCGTCTACACAGCTAATTTTTGCGCAAAAACCTCTTGCGCAAAAAGCATTGGAAGAGATTATGCAAATGAAGTGCAAGAAAATGCTAATGAGCGCTTCATTTGCATTGCTTCTTCTGCAAAAAAAAAAAAACCCTAGTGTAGACATACCCTTAAGGCTGGAATAGTTAAGCTAATGGAAGAGCTTTCTCCTTCCATCCGCCCTACAGCAATTACATTAAAGAGTTTACAGGGGGGCAGTTCATTGCTACAGTTCCCAATGCTGTAAACTGTCTGTTGTACCCGTAGTCTGAGACACAAATCTTTCTTTTGGCAAAGGAGTAGTATGAGCCACACAATCAGCACCAGAGCTGTGAAGCAATGAATAATAATGATTCATTTAATATCTCAGTGATTAGTATCATCTCCGTCCTCAATACTAAGGAAACATGAGTTTTTACCCTGGGGTAATTACCATGCATTAGCTATTCTACTGTAAAAACATGGTAGAGACAAGACACTTTAGTTTCACCAGAAGACAAACTATGTGAGGTCAGCACCATGCCCTCCCTCCCGTGCAATCAATGCAAAGGAGAAACAGGATACCGTAATTCGTTTAAAAAAAGCAGTAAACTTGTCAAAATGAAGAACAACACTAACATGTATTATACTGAAATATTAAACATATACAAAATACTATGAAATTAAAATATGCATAAACAAGTTAGTAGAAATATCAAAATTTATGTATGCAACAAATTAAGTAATAAACAGTAAAGTATGCACTTCGATGTTTGCAGGATGGCAAATTACTTACAGAAATAAATGTTTAATGTTTTCATTTACAAAGGGAAGGGATAAAAGTCACATCTTACTTACTGGAAGTTCAAAAAAGCACTCAATATTAAAGAAATGTACTATTGTTTTACATATATGGATGCTTTGAAAGAGCTAACAGAAAAAGTATGAAGCTAGTACATCTGAAAGGCTCGACAAAAAAGAAAATTTAAGACTCTAAAATGTATTTATTTATTTTAACGTTATGACTTTGGGATGCATATCTCATGATTTTTGAATACCTCTATTATATCTATATTTAGAAACAATACAATAGAAATTTATTTTTTAGGATAGTCCCACTGCGCCAGATTTTTAAAAGTATTTAGCCGACTAGTAGGATTTTCAGAAGCATCATGACACTTTTAGCCTTTAAAAATCTGGCATGCAGTGATTTTTTGGGAACCAAATTTGACACACAAATAGTAATGGGATAAAAACAGGGTGCTGGATAAGAAAGCAAAACAATTGACCAACACGATCTTCATTGATTTATTAAAAGAAACTGCAATGTGACATCAACCCAGGAAATCAGCAGGTGTTGATAAGAATAAAGGTCCCAAAGAATAAAATGGTGTTTGACAAAAACTACTGGCACGATACGGACAGTGCTACCCCAGAAACACTGAGACGGGATGGCTGAAGCCTACTAGCAGCTATGAATATTTTTAAACTGATTAACTGCACCTAAAGTATGATCTGAAGGGCACAATGACATTCGTGTGCCTAGAGTGGACGACGAGCCGCCTGGCGCAGCACAGGGCCTGGGAGGCGGGAGCCAAGACGGACTGTCCTGCAGGGGAGAAGGGGGCAGCCCCTCAGCCTCATCCCCAGCGCCCAACCCCCGCCTGCCTGTGCCCCTCAGCCCTGCCTCGGCTGCCTCCAGGCGCCCGGCCAGCCTGCACCATCCCGTCGGGCACTGCCCAGATCCTGCCCCCCTCGCTCCCCAGGGCTCCTGCGCGAGCAGCAATTGCCAAGCCAGGGCAGCGGCTTCAGCAGCTCTTACTGAGCACGCGCACGTCACAGGCGCATGCTCAGAACCGGCGCACAGCCCCGCCCCTTTCTCGTTCTCAAGCTCAGCCGGCTGGTAGAGGCGCTGCCGCCGCGCGCAGCAATGGGGCTGCGGCCCGGGG